CTTTCTTGCCCATTCCCTCAACTCCATCCCTTGTTTCACTCCATCTAGGCTTCACATCTCCCTGCTCTCTTGTTTCAATAGCTCCCGTTAATTTGTCCAAACTCCATCCGTTTGGATGTGAAACATATTTTAAAATACCTGAGGCGAATTGGCTGAAACTCGATCCCAAAGCCAGACGAGCAATATTTCTCTCATACCCTCCAGATGGAAATGGATATAATCTATGGGATATCACACAACAAAAATTAGTGAAATCAAGAGATGTCATTTTTCATGATGATGTATTTCCGTCGCTTGAAAAAGTACCTTCCTCCCCCTCCTGTCCTGTAGAGGTAGAAATACTGTGGCCTTCTAAAGAAACACACCCTCCATCTCAGCGACATAGGCGTCTTTCTACGTCAATCCACAATCCTGCTCGTCGACCGCTCAGTCCTTCTTCTTTTTCAAACCTGCCGGATAAAACTCCTACCCGTACTTTTGCTGAAACTCTCTCCAATCCAACTGTTTTTCCTTGGCTGATTGTTGCACGAACCAAATTTTCGTAATTTGTCACGTGACCACCTCCGTGACTGCGCAAGTAGTCATCCAACTCGTTCTCAACACAATTTCCCCTCCAATCGTTCTCGTTTTTCTCAATTTTTTCATCAATTCTCTCAATCTTTCCCTTTCCGTCGCGATCTCCGATGGACGAAGGACCTCCGGATCCCGATATCCAGGACGGCTCAGCTGTTCGGGATGACGCGTCGACGTATGACGACGCGATGGACGCGATAGTCGCGACTGACCTGACGGGTCAAACGCCGACGAACACGCCCAAATCGCTTCCACCACCTCCGAAGGCCCTTGAAAAGGTCGTTCTACCCTCTCAATCTCTGGTCGGTCCTGTATCGAGTACTCCAGCTTCGCTGGAGGGTTCGAGAAAGCGACTTCGACAACGAGCTCCCTCACCTAGCCCCCTTGATGACTCAGAGGACATCACCGGAACCCCTCGCTCGATTCGTATCGCACGACTTTTCCCTGGTGGCTCTGGAGCCGCATCGAAACCACTGGGCGTTTTGATTCAAAAGCTGCTTGATATATCAAAAGCTACGCTGGTTCCCAAATCAAAACGCGCGAAATCGGTCAACGTCGATATCGACTCGGCGGCTGACATGCTTGTTCTAGCTGGCTTGATCCAGGATCAAGCAAATATAATGGAGGCTCGACGAGTGGTATTTGATCCACTCCGTCAAACAGCTCCTACCCCCTCATCGCTTGCCTCAAACGCTCAGTTTGAATTTCGACACGAAGCATTGTCGGAAAAAGTTGACACGCTTGCCGATCAAATGGCCAAGCTGGTTTCTGCTATCATCCCCAACCAGCAGCAACAACAACAAGGCCAAGCGCCACCAGCCCAAGCTAAGAGCTCTTACGCTTTAGCTGCCTCAAAACACGCCCCGGGACCATTTCAGGCTCCCAAACAAAATCAGCAGCGCAATTGCGCTCAACCAAAGCAGAGCCCCCGTCCAAAGTCGGAGGCTTCACTCACGCTCAACCAGCAGGACCCGAAGAATATTGCTGGCGGGGGAAAAACCATTCCCGAGCTGATTAAGAGTCTCAATGAAGTTCTTAAAACTAGTAACATTAAGGTCGACATGGACGACAAATCAACGATATTGGTTCGGAATATCCACCGTCATCCCTCGGGAGACTTAGTGATTTATCTTGAATCACAGAAACAAGTCCAAGCTCTGCGTGGCCAAGCCTCATGCTGGCTATCAAAGGTCTCACCCAACCTTGCGATCAAGCAAGAGGTACACTCGGTCATTGTCCACGGAGTCCCTACCACCTTCAACCCTACGCGACCAGAGGACATCGAGCTCCTTAAAACTTGCAACGGTGATCTCCTTGATGACGCCCTCTTTGTGAGGTGGCTTAAGAAAGATACGGCCGATGATACGGCAAAACGACACTCCTCCCTTTTAATAGGCTTCAAGACACTCAGCCAAGCCACTCTAGCAGTGCGCACCAAAGTCTGGCAAGGGAGAGGCCTTCACAGGACTGAATTGAGCGGTCCCCCCCCCATGCGTTGTTTTAATTGTCAATGTATAGGCCACACAGCGCCAGCTTGTAAAATAGCTCCCATGTGTCCCTACTGCTCAGGAGAACACCACTCACACAATTGCCCGATAAAAGGTTCAACTGCAATGAAATGCACTTCATGTGCTCGTGGCAAACTGAAAGCTGATCCAAGCACCAATCTCCCGCGGCTCTTCAAAGAGAACCACGCAGATTTTCTGCACCATCCATTCTCACCAACGTGCCCTGTGAGAATAGCTAGCCAGTTCCCCCCCCATAACCCTAGCTCCTCGCCGTATATAGAGGTGGTCAACGAAGCAGAATCATCTCGTACTCAATGTTAGAGAACCAGATGAAAGAAAAACTCAATATTGACAATTCAGCTGGTATTCTTCAATTGAATAGCTGGCACAGCAAACATGTTACGCATTCCCTTTTTAATTCAGATCTCACTAATTCATTTTCTATCATCTCTCTTCAAGAACCTTATGTGAACCCCATCGACAATTTTCCGCTCAATCACACAAACTGGACTCTAGTCTGTCCCTCTCCTAAATCACTGAGTGAGGAGGACAGACCCCGAGCCTGTCTTTATATCAGACAAGACCTGAACGCCATTATCAATCCCATTCATTCATCATCAAGAAACCTCGCGGCGTGCACGGTGACATTAGCTGGCTTTACTATCCTGATAGCCAGCGTGTACAACCCATGCAAAACGCTCTCCGGCTTTGAAGCCTTTACCGAAATGCTACGCACGGCACCGCTGGACACTCAGCTGTTGCCGGCGGTATGCGTAACTGACTCTAACCTCCACTCTCCTTTATGGAACCCCAGCCACAGCACAGTCGCCAACAAAGACGCAGAAACACTCATCGACATGATGACCGAGTGGGGATTTACCTTGAGATCACCTAAAGGTATTCCCACATTCGGAGTTCGTTCGACAAACACTCAAGGAACATCCATCGACCAGGTTTGGGTCAATGAAGATTTTGACGAGGCGACGCTGACGTGCTTTATAGACGAAGACGACCTTCTAAACCATCAATCCGACCACCAAGCAATAATAACATGCTTCTCGACAAAACTAGGGGACGATACCACTGCTAAGTACCAATCCACTGAGAGAAAGAATTGGAACAAAGTTGACCGTCTTTTATTGGCACAGCAACTAAAAACTACCCTGCCGCAACTCAAGGCCCTTCCGACACGAGACGACATCGAAGCTTTTGACGAAGCACTCCGAACAGCGCTGGTGACGGCTCTCAATGAGAACTCACCACGGAAGGCGACATATGGAAAGCACAAGGCCTGGTGGAGGCCTGAAGTTCTTGATCCACTCCGAAAGGAGGCTTCTAGACTTCGAAGACGCTCCAAGAAGCTCAACACCGAGGAGTCACGCGCCGAATACAAGAAGGCCCGTAACAACTTTAACCACGCGATCGATAGGGAGAAAGAGAACTCCTGGAGACAGTTCCTCTCCAAAGTCGACCACACCAACCTTTTCCAGGCCAAGAGGATCGCCTCGGGTCGAAAACCGTCTTCACTTGTAAGCACTATCATCACTCCGGATGGCAAGACGTGCTCAACAAATGATGAGAAAGCGGAAGCGCTTTTCTTCGCAACCTGTGTGGCGACAGCTCCATGCAGGTTGGAAGATACTAACCACCTTACATTCCCGATCATTGAAGATCAGCGCCCAACGGCGGAACGAACCCCTCCTTTTGTAGCATCCATCACCAAAGAGACCATTGCCGCAGTGGTCAACGACTGCCCGCCCAAGAAAGCACCTGGATCGGACGGAATCCAAAACTGGATTTGGAAACTCGTTTGGGACCAAGTAAAACTACACGTAACGTTACTATTCAAATGCATTGCACTCACAGGATTCATACCACACTCATGGAAAACTGCAGTGACGGTGATGATTCCAAAGCCAGGAAAGCCAGACTACACCCAGGCGTCGGCTTATAGACCGATCGCACTCCTCGGCACACTCAGCAAGATTTTCGAAAAGCTCCTAACGATCCATCTCTCAGCTTATGCTGAGAACCTTGGCATGCTCCACGACGGTCATTACGGAGGCCGCCCAGACAGATCCAGCCAGGAGGCCTTAGTCCACCTGGTGTCTTGGATCAAACGAGAATGGGCTAAGGGGAAGGTAGTAGGCGCTCTCTTTGCAGACGTCAAATCTGCCTTCCCATCAGTCCATCATCCCAGGCTTCTCGACACCCTCGAGAAGAAGGGTATCAACACCCAAACGCTCAACATCCTTCACGACTTTCTCGACTCGCGATCAACTACGCTCACCTTCAATGGCTACACATCCCAGGCTTTTGCCCTCGATCACGGGCTTCCGCAAGGCTCCCCTTTATCCCCACTGCTTTACCTTCTCTACAACTCATCTCTACTTGAAATCACTGATAACATTGCCTCGGCTTCGGCGTTAGGCTTCATCGACGACGTTGTCTTGTTATCAACCGCAAACGACACCCACCAGCTGAAATCACAGATGCAAACACTGTCATTTCGCCAACAACAATGGGCCAAGAACCACGGCGCCATTTTCGACGTCAAGAAAACCTTTTGGGTTCTTTTCAGCTTACAAACACCAACATACATCCCTACGATTGATTTCGCCGACCGAAAATCAATTGAACCAGCCCCTTTTGCAAAATGGCTAGGCATCAAGGTCGACAACCAGCTCAGCTTTAAGCAACACCGACTCGAAGTTATTGCAAAAGGTCAACAACGAGCCGGTTTCCTCGCAAGTCTCTCAAAGACAGGATGGGGTATTCCTCCTCACCTTATGAGGATCCTCATCACCACCACCATTCACGCAGCAACGGACTACGGCGCTATGGCCTGGAATCCTACGGAACCATCAAAATTCCTCATAGAGAAGCTGACTCAAATAGACAACACTTGTGCTCGTGCGGCCCTCGGAGCGCTGAGTACCACACCATCGATTTTCCTTCGCCACGACCTGAACCTCGTGCCTGTGAAGGCCCGCTTACAAAGCAAAACTTTGAGCTTCATGGCACGCTCCCTAGCTAAGCCAAAGACTCACCCCTTTTTCTCTATCATCCAACAGGCACAGCATTCGAATCCGAAATGCCACAAAAATCCATTCCATCAATTCTTCCAACACTCTCTTCACCAACTTTTCGAGGAGCATGTTGTCCAACTACCAGTCGACCCAGCGTCGACACTAATTCGGCCACTTAACTACTCGACGATCCTCCAGGAGGATGAATCCATCGCCACAAACGGAACTCTCCAGCTTAAACCAAGTAGCCACCACATCCTCATCTTTACGGACGGCTCCCGCATTCCAACCAAAAACACAGCAGCAGCGGCATGGTGCGCTAACACCACGACTTCGACTGCAGTCCAACTAGGACCAGCGCGATCACAAGGCATTTACCAGGCAGAGTACCGCGGCGTACAACTGGGGCTCAAAATGGCCTTAGAACTGGCGACTCAAGCAACTCACAGAACATCTATTGTCCTAGATAATCAAGGCGTGGTTAAAGATTTAAAATCTAACTCATCTTCTGTCTCTTCGCTAGATAACAGACAACAAACATTTAAAATACTTAAATGCATTCACCACAGCTTTCCATCGATGAAAGTCACCATACGATGGTGCCCAGGCCACAAAGGCATCCCGGGCAACGAGGCCGTCGACAAATTAGCCAACACGCTCGCCAAAAGCGACCTACCCAGCACGTTCACAAATACACCCAACTCAGCGGCTTTCATTTCGGCCATCAACGAATGGAAGCTGTCACAAACTGAGACATTCACCGATTCAGAAATAAAACGACTAGGCCACAAGCCCCAACCGAAGAAACACCTTAAGGCTCTATCAGAACTCTTAAAACACGAGGTCGCCACTATCACGCAATTACGATCAGGTCATGTACCGCTCAATGCATATCTCAATAGATTCAAACAACCTATAGACCCTGTCTGCGATTGCCAAGACGGCATCGAAACAGTTGACCACTTCTTGTTCATCTGCCAGACACACGAACAACATCGAAACAAACTCGAAAACGACCTTCAAAGCATCACGACAAACACAATGAACAAACGAATCCTGTCTGACCCCAAAAGCTTCAAACTCATTGCCACTTTTTGCAACTCCACATGGAGATTTGCGAATCGTTGGACCTGGGCTAAGGCCGCCAATGAACCCCGTCCCACGAACAGAACCCCACCCCAAGAATAATATTATTCACACCCTCTACTTCACCGCCCTTCTCTTTCCATAAAAACTATAAAAACATGTAACCTAGATGAAACAGCCAACAGCAACCCTTTCCCCTGACACAGCCAGAGGGGTTTTACCGGTGCTGGACATAGTACATAGTGTTTGATAGCCTGACGGCTCAATAAACACTTAAAGCAATGCAAAAAAAAAAAAAAAAAAAAAATGTACAGAAATCAGAGTCCAAGATCCTGAGTCACACGCATTAGACTGAAATGGAGAGGAGAGTTAGGTGTCTATTGAGAGTAACCCTGAAGTGGACGAATTCAAGTGTGAGGAAAAATTTTTCCTCTTTCGACTTGAGAAGAAAAACGCCACTACCTAGTGGTTACGCTACCCGAGCACAGTCTCGGGTCGCGGGTAATCTAACATTTTATGCACACAACCTTTTTTGGCCTTGAATCACAAAATCAGCACATCAATTATAAGGATTTCAAAAAGCAGTGTTATCTTCCCTGAAATCAACACATACTCACATTGGATACTGATCATGGTTTGGTTAGCCATCAATATTGAACCAATACAAAACAGTCAACCCATGTAAACACACTCACATTCTAAATCATCTTGCTAAACACTTCAATCAATTATTAATATTCACGAAAAAAATCCCTTTGAACTGAATCATCTGTAAACCAAAAAAAAAACTAAAATTGTAGATATACAAATCAAGAAAACATTTGAACTTTTTTTTTTCTTCTTATCCAAAACGATCAATTTCTTCTCAAAATTAAATATTAAATAAATTTTAACAACAAAGCCCATTCCATCAATTTCTTTCTTCTTCTTGCAAATTTTGATATAAGACTTAATAAAACAAACAAGCACAAAAAAAAAAGAAAAAAATAGCCAAAAAGAGCAAATCAAAAAGAGCAAACCAAAAAGAGCAAACCAAAAAACGAAGAAAGAAAAGGAAAAAAAAAAACGAAAAAAAAAACTTTTAAGCAAGATTCATAGTACCAAATCCAATACCTTGTGAACCTGATAATTTTAAACTTAATCTTTGTAAAGTAATAGTAGAAGGATCATAATAAAATGCTACAAAGCCCAAAAAAAAATGAAGAATTCATGAGTCTTTCTTCTTCATAAACTTTGAATGATTAGTTTTTGTTTTCTTTTCAAAGACAAACCTTCAATTGAACCATTTGATTTAGATTGACAAACAAAATAAAACCCTTGGATTGATAAACCAGATTGATCAGCTTCACAATTGACAAAATGAGTTTCTATTTCATACCAAATCCCGCACAAAAAAAAAATCATCAACAAAAACTCTAAATTCCAAAACATTTTGATTCATCAAGAACTCCCAAACCAAACACATACCTTTCCATCTCATCAAAACGAAATCTTGATGAATCCGATCTTGAAAAGCTTGATAGTCTTCAACAGAATCCAATTGATCTTTATACCCATCAAAAGCTTTAGTTTTCGACCAAAACTCTTTTTCGATTCGATCGTTGGCCCATTTACCATGAGTGTATAAGAAATGATGATCGAAATCAATGATTTCACCTTTCCAAGAAGTAGTGATCAGTTCTTGATTTTTAATTTCAGATCTTGCTTTCATGATCCCATTCAACTTCATCTGATCCACATCAATCTCCGTGATGATCACCTTCACTTCCCAATTCGAATCTTTTGGATTGATGATATGATTAATAGGTTGAGTAGTCGTAGTTGTCAAGGATGATAAAGAATAATTTAAATATGAATTAGGTGGGATGACTGAACCGAAGGAAAGGTTAGGAACTTGAACCGGTGCTAAGGATGAGTTGTGTAAAAGGTATAATTCGTCTGGATCAAAGATCACCGAAGAAGGAATGATAGGTGCATGTGAATTGATGGTGAGTTGTTGATTGGATGAGATCGATCTTGTGATGGTGGTAGAGGAAGATGGAAGATGAGATTGAGATTGAGATCTAGATCTGCTTGGATGGTTTCGTTTCGGTTTAGATTTGATGGTAGACTGATGACCTGTTAGAGTAGCACCTGTTTGTAGATAACATAAATTGAAGTTGTTAGTCAGATTAGATGTCGAAGTTGATTGATGTTTTGAATGGATTGAAGTTTGATTTGAATGTTGAGGATGATTTGAATTTGAATTGAGTTCTAATGCATGTTTATTGAAGAGTGGATGATGTTGATGATGTTGATGTTGCATCAGATGATGATGTTGATGATAATGGTGCATATAAGTTGAATGTTTTGTGGTTTGTGGTCAGTAGAATGTGATGGTGATGGTGATGGAGTGACTGGCTTACAATATCAAATCGATTTTTTTTCAAGACTTCAGTTCGATTGGGATACTTAAGAGACTATGTAGGTACTTACCATACTTAACACAGATACCCCCACTGTAATCCAAAACACAAATCTTCATTCAAATTCAATCCACTCCAATCAAACTGATCTCATCGAAATGGTCAGTCAAGAATCAAAACACACACAATTCGATCATCATCCACTTGACTAATCATTTCAAAACCATCACAGTCAGAAGAAATCGTTAATGTCATAGTACCTTCATCAGGTCAAGTCAGTGATTTCCAAAATTCAATCCCATTTCAAAGATTCAAAAACTCACTAACTTGGATCACCGGTTTTTTCATCACTTTTTCAAAGGTAGCCAGTCGATTTGTTTCTTCATCAGATTTAGAAAATGCTAGACAAAAAAGAGAAGAAGAATGGAAAGAAACCTATAAAAGACTTGGACAGGTTCATCTATATACTTTGAAAACAAACCTTGATTTTCTATTTTGAGTCTTCACTGATCCTGGGTGGTTCTTTTTTTTTCAAGGAAGCACCACCTATGCCAAAAGAAGAATATGATGGTAGATCATTATATGAAAAATTAAAAGAAACTAAAGATAAGAAACAAGAAGCATTTGAAGAACAATTAAAATTTAGTAAAAACCTAATCTTTTTGAATCTCTTACCCAAACCTAAACCATTATGATTTGAAAAACTCATCTTGACTAATTCTTGGTATCAATTATTTTGTTTTGGTTAAAAAAAGAAAATCAGTTTAGAGCATTAGATGATGAAGAAGTGGCATTTTTAGATGATGCAGCTGAAGAACAACGGATAGCTGAATTAGAAAAAGAAAGAGCAATTCAAGAAGAAATGGCCCGATTTAAAAAGTAAGCAAACCTTTTTTTTTGATTTTTGATTCCAGTCTGATTAAATTCACACATCATTTAATTTTCTGTTGATTTAGAGCAGTAGCTACAAGAACAACAGAACCCATAGCAGGATCATCAATCTTAACATCACCTACCACATCAAGTAGTATGATTCCAACTACTTCAATCGTTTCTTCTATCATCAAACCAGTACCGAAGAAATCAAAGAAATCAAAAGATTTTCAATCTGCTTTTTTAGCTAATGCAATTCGACCAGTCAATGGAACCTCTAAAAAAAGAAAATCTTCTACTACTATCACTACTACTAATGAAACTGATTTAAAAAAACTGGAGAATCTTAAAACTCATTCGATTGAAGAAACAAATCATGATTCTAAAAAACAAAAAGTTCCATAAAGCTTTTTAATCTAGTTGAAATTCTTCGTTCTTTCTTTTCTTTTATTTTTGTTTTGTTTTAGCCCCCAAAAAAAAAGATTGATTTTCATTTGATGAGTTGTACGAACATTAATCCAAGATTTGATTTGGGATATGTGATTCTAATAATGATGATGATGATATATATAATTTTATTTTTTTAGCATATGATTTCATTTGACATGCAATTCAAGTAATTTTCCCTTCAATTGGAGATTTCCTATACAACGCTATTTCTTGGTCTATTTAGTTCTGATTATTAGATTTGTTAATGATCATCTTTAATCCCATTACACTCCTTAAAAGACACCTTAGAAGATAAAACCCAAGCTCTGATGTCAAATCGGTGATTTATAAACCAACGCTTCAGATCGGTACCATGCTCATGCTCATCTGATGGAAGTGGAGGTTTTTGGGTTTGATCAATTAGAATTTAACTACCCCCTGGAATCTGCACCTGGATGGACGATGGGAACGGGATTATATTCGTTCTGATTAGTTGAAAGCTTGATTTTAGAAACTGATTTGGTTGATTGATATTCATCGTTCATTAGGCTACTCACTAATTTTTAAGTCTTCTTTTGTTTCTTTCACATTTGTTTTGATTCAAGATGATTTCTTTGATGTGCATGTATATACTTAGTTCTAATTGAACTTGATTGTAATCCGCTTCAAATCGAACCGCGTCTTATCAAATTCTCCTAACATTAATCAAAGGCTGCGGTTTTTTATCATCCATGATCACAGATGGTTTGTAAAAGTGTTTGTCAACAAAAACATGATTTAAATTGAAAAGGAATGATGCATGCATGTTCAACAACATCTCAAACTTTTTCTTTGGCTTCTTTTCCTTGGTGCAATGGTGTGTGTGTGTGTAAGTAAACGGATGAGATTTGATGTGATTCAAGTTTCAAGTTTTCGATCACGACTCTATTGAAATCTAAAATTGTTTGATATAAACGAATCATCAGCTCATCAATCGATTCAGTCAAATTCTCTTTCTCAGTTGCGGAACCAATGCGCCATGATATGTAGTGATGTCATTTTCAGATATTTCCGCTTTCCGAGCCTTCAACTCATCTTCACCCGTTAAAACTTGTTTTTTTTTGTGTAAGTAAAAAAAAGCACCGTCGCTGAAATTCCCCGCAAGGTGTTTTTTTTCTTATTTTTTTTCAACTCTTACTCAGCCATTGGTACATAATGATGGCCAAGGCTCAACCAAGTCTAATCGAGAATCAATTTGAATCTACACCGGACGGATGTTAATGGATCACGTCCGCTACAGAATCCCATTCAACGTGATTGAGGGAAAGTGCAAGTTAAAATTCTTTAAGCAGTGAGTTGCTGATACATACCATGCCAAATCAAGTCATGATCCTGATGACTAGGTTTAAACTTAGTCCCTACAAATTGATCACCCAAGGATTTATCAACCCGAAGATCGGCTATATGACAAAAGTGGCATAGCCTTGATGATGTCGGTTGAATTTGATCAAGTCAAAAGAGATTTGGTGAGTGAGTGAGTGAGTGGTAAGATGGACCCTTTTGTTAAAACCATCACGTTTTAGGATGACTTGTTTAGTCTAATTTTGATGATTATGTAGAAAAAAAACTAACCAGCAGCAGCTACTGCCAAGGTGTTTGATTGAAGATTGATTTAAGCATGAGAGCTATATGATATGATATGATATATCCTTAAAGATGAAAACAGAAAAGGCGTTAAGGAATTCTCTGATCCAAGACTTTACACAAGATAATTAAGTTAACATTAGCAGTTTAAAGAGAATTTCCAAGCATCTTTTGAAGATTGAAGATTATCTTACTCACGCTAAGAAAACTATAAATTCCACAATAACAAGCCAATCCCATCACACCATCACACTTGATACAATTCAAATAGCTGTGAGCTGATTGAGTTCTACAGTGGGAATCATTTCAATCAATTCTAATCTTCAATCAATTCTCACTCTAATACAATCCACATACATACTTAATCCACCATTTCTCTCGTGTGTGTGTGTGTGTAGCCTACCTCCACCTCCACCTACCATCTTCAAAACATATCCAAACACTCAGCCATCCTTTTTTTCGATTTCGATCTGACTTGGTTCAAAAATCATCATCATCATCTTCTTCATCGGTCGAACCACAACTTGTTTGATCTTCAAAAACTTAATTAGAAAAAGCTTGATTTTTTTTTATTTTCATAAATATATATAAACAACTTGAAAGTTTCGGAAATCCTTCTTTTTTGTTTTTCCTTGAAATCTTCCTTACTTTCATTCTATCAACTATCAAAGAAACCTCCGATCCATCCTCAATTCTCAATTCTCAGCCGGTCTGACTGATTGTAAAACTCCTTTTATCATCACTTAACAATTGGATTTAACTTTTTCTTCTTCTTCTTCTTGTTTTACCCCACCCACTTCAATCACTTCTCACTTGTTTCAATCTGACAATCCAAGTTAATCGAAATCCCATTCAATTTCAATCAACTTCACTTTCTTTTACTTCCCAATCCAATCTTGTGTTTTTTTTCCTTAACAAATCCTTATTACACAAATGTCTATTTATCTTTCTTCGGTTGTTTCGGCACCTGCTTATCAAACTTGTTTTTCCACTAATCCATCAACTTATTTAAATTTATCTATTCATCATCAAGATCGATTCAAGAATGTTTCTACCATCAAGAAAGAAGAAATCCAATTTGCCACCGATTCAACTTCAAAATCAAATTTAAATTCAAATTCAAATTCATCACTCATTCGATCCACTACAAAATCGACTTCAAATCCAAGTTCACCTCTTGCTTCATCTACCACAACTCGTGCAAGAGCCATGGGTAATTTGACAGAAGCTATCGAACGTAGAAGAGCCAAGGAAAACATTGAATCGGTTCCATCTTTCAATCAGCTTCCTAAACCTATTCCAACGACTATCAATACCAGAAGGGATGAAAAGAAAGCACTCGGTCTTCGAGCAGCGGTGGGTAGTTACAAGATGCGTTGTTGTAAGTCTTCCTGTATACTTCGCTCTTGGTTGCTCTTCACAACCACTTGATCTTCCTACACATCATCATTCATGCCATGATGTGACTGATGTGATTGACTTTTCCCCCCCTTTCTCTCTCTCTCTCTCTCTGTTACCATATCATCTGTTCATATAAACGTACTCAGCTGGTACTAAATCTCTTTCAGCTAGCCCAGTCACTTCAGAAAAATTTGTCATACCCATCAAACCTCCTCATACTTCTTCTTCTTCTTCTTCTTCAAGTCAATCTAAACCTTTAGATACAGTCACCAACATGACATGGGTAGACACACCTGAATCTCGTCTTAAACATTCTCAATACCTTGCCGCTCGTCGTGAAAGTATTATCGGTCGAGTCGGTGGAGGACATCGAAGGGTGGTTAGCGAAAGCATTAGTCTTAATTCAAAACCTTCAAGCACGCTTCGTTCTCCAACACCTTCAATCACCACTCTTCCATCTTTAGATCAAATCAGTAGTTGGGTTGCCTTACGGAAAAACCATGTGAATGATTCGGCAGAAGAAGATCTGGGCTTACAGAGTCCTACTTGGGCTGGATATTCAATGGGGTCTAGTAGACCAGTGTTGAATGTGAAATCGAAAAGTTTACCCATCTTTTCTCATGCTCGTGATCCATCTATACCAAGGATTTGTTTGAGTCCTGATTCAGGTAAACCGAGTCTTCTTTATCATTCATTCTACAAGTATTGAAAACTGATCTTGTGATTCATTTTTTGGTGTTCGATTCATAGATGAAGAAGAAGAAGGTCATGATCAATCTGATGAAACTCAATCAGAACCACCTACTTCAGCTATCCCGATTATGTTAGATACATCAGGATTATTATCAGCTAATCCGACTATGGAAAGGAGTTTAGATTTCAAATGCGCTTTGATTGCTACTACTACATCTTCGTCTCCTCCTAGTAATTCTTCGAACCATCGAGCAGTCCAACGTCAAGCTTTACTTGCGAACCTTGCATTGGCTAGACGTCGTAGAACAACAACCACAACAACGATGACGAATGAGAAATCGACGCCTCAGTTTGTGGCACCGGTTTGAAAATCAAAATCAACGGATCAGGTTGACGTTTTCTTTCGTCTCGTTTCTTTTTTCTCGTTACTCTTTTTTTTATCTTCTCATTGGATTCTCTCTGGTAAGAGAACTTGTAATTCGTTTTGTTCTTTTTTTCTTCTTCTTGTTTGTTCTTGTTTGTTCTTTTTGTGTTTCCTTTTTTTTTTCCTTAATTAATTGTTAATGTTTTAATCTTTGTTATTTGCAAGTCTTCTTTCTTCTTTTATGCAATTTCTTTTTTTTTTATTATTCAAGATTTTTTTTTTCTTGGTGTACAATTTGAAAGAAAAGCAGAAAAAAGAAAAAAGAAAAGAGAAAAGAGAAAATAGAAAAAAAAGAAGATATTAATTTTTTTCTTGGGGAGTCCTTTTTTTTATAAAAAAAAACTTTTTTGATTGTTTTTTTAGTTTTTTCTTTTTCTAATTGCTTACTTGAGTAATATGAATCTCTTTTTTGAAAAAGAAAAACAAAACAAAGAAAAGAGAGGGTTTGATTTTGATTTGACTTTGACTTTGATATATATGTTTGACAACTCAAGCCAGGCTACAGAAGATTTTAAAGGATGAAAGGTCCAAGAAATTTTGGTTGTATAGCTGTTATTATACATGATGGTATGTATATGGATAGAGATTCATAAAATTTGTCAATGAGTTGGAGTTTTCTTTTGGAAACAGAATTGTCAATGTGATTCGAATACACTTCATGCAAAATCTTCTTGTACATGAAGGTGGTCTGGAGTTTGATCATTAGGTGAGCCATGGTACAAAGGCTTGAAGTTAAATCAAACAAATAAAAGAAAATGTGCTCGAAACGAAAAAAGATGCTGCCCAGAATCCTACGGATGGAAACAGCACCCTGTGTCGAGGTAGGAGCCGCTGCGGTCATACCGGGGCCATAGCGATGACCTATTCATCTCGATACTTCGCAACCGGCCCCTCCGGTCCATAATGGCTGCATACCGATACGTCCACCATGCGTCAATACGCTGCCAACGTAATTTGTGTCATCGTCAATGCCCCTTCAGCCCTTAATCATGTACCTATTGTTTTACCAAAGAAACCTTTGTCCCTGATGCATTAATCTTTGCACGAGGTGTAAGCCTGCCACCGTGATAAAGATTCTGAAAAGGGTCTAATTACACAGCGGCATCTGCAATGTTTACCAACAAACGTGGCTCAAAACCGAGTCATGACAATCCATAATGACAAATAAGAACAAAAACTGGGCAAGCTGAATCGCCTTGGTGGTCAACTCGAAGTATGGCATGGAGACAGTATTGGCCCATGGGCCGAAACAGTCACTTGCAGCGTAGACACTATCGCCGTGTCAAGAGGGACAATTGACAACGGTCAACCTGCGTCACATACGTAAACGTAACGTTATGCTTGGCCGACTTATCTAAACACTGGGTCGGGAGGGCGGCGGGCCGCCCACGAGACTCTAGTTTGAAAGAATATTAAATGATGAAATTTATCAAGTCTGGTGTCATCACTGGGCTTGTGGGTCTTGTGATGTGGGATAGACAGAGATGGATGGTGGGTACTATGTGGTAGTATAGTTATTGTAGCAAAGAGAAGGGAGAAAAGAGAAAAGCTCTGATCTACAAGGGTGGGACTTGGGCAGTACCCCTTTCATTGGTTGTGACACTCCTGTTAACCAGTGTCAGAGATCATAGCAATATCTTCCCCTTTACACCCCAGTTCCCTCTTTTCAGTTGAGCATCTTTCCCAGGGCCTGGAGTTAAAAAAAAAACAGTGGGAAAAGACTCCAGCCCCGCTGTCATTTCTGGACCCCATGTCCTCTGGTGATCTTCTGTGGTCTTTGGAACCTGTGGAGTGAAGTTGTCAATCCTCTATTTGACATTCTGAAGGTTCATACTTGGTTCCCATGAATACTCTGATTGGTTGAATCCCTTCCATGCTATGAGGTACTCATCCTTTCCTCCACTTTTATGCTTGTCTAGGATTTACACCACCTCCTCTTCCTCCTTGCCATATATCTCAATTGCTGGTGGTACTACCCTCACTCTCTCCTCAATCAAATATGGAAAGTTTTCCCTCATGAATACCAACATATGAAAGACAAGATTCATGTGATTCATACTACTTGGTAGTGCCACTTTATACACTGATGTTGATATCTTCTTAATGATGTTGAACGGGCCTAGCCACTGGTGGTCTAGCTTAATGTTAAGTCCTGTGGTTGAAACTCTGCCACTATTGAGTCATGCTTCATTGCCCATGCTGCAGTCTGGTGTTGGTGTCACAGTTTTGTTTCATTGTGATTGAGCTAATGATTCTTTCAACTCATCTTGTACTGCTGTGATTCTATTCGGCCTTTCTTCAACAACAGAATTAATGCACCTCTTGGCTGAAGGTATTCTCCCAAACAACAAGTTGTAGCCTAGGTTTGCTTTGAATGGTGAAAGGCCTGTCAACAAAGACATGCTGTTCTTATAAGCAAGCTCAGCCAATGGTAAGTGCTCCTCCCAATCATCCTTTCAATATTAAGGGTACTCAAAGTAAGTATGTACATGTACATACTTTTTGCTATATACTTTTTTTGGCAGGGAAGACGAGGCCAAAAGTATCTTTTCAACAAAGACATGCTGTTCTTATAAGCAAGCTCAACCAATGGTAAGTGCTCCTCCCAATCATCCTTTCAATATTACAATGAAATGTTTCAATATTGTTCAACTGCTTTCTTGAAAATTCCTGTTTAGTTGTCTGTCTGTGGGTGATAGGCTGTGGACAAATGGAGTTTTACACCTAATTGATTATTCAGCAATCTGGTAATTTCAAGATGAACACACTCCCTTGGTCCAAAACTATAGTCTTTGGTGAGCCATGTGATTTTCAAACATGCATCAAGATCAGTGAAGCTAAGTCAGCTGATTTCATTTCTGTTGTGAAGGTATGAAGTGCCCCAATTTGGTGAAACATCATTCCATTCAATAAAGGTAGGTCTGTGATTAAATTGTAGAAGACATCTATCCAGGGACCCATGGGAATTGGTAGTGGTCTGAGGGATCCAAATGATGTTTTTTAAGTGTTTCACATGTAAGCACGAGTCACAATCATCAACAAATTTAATGGTGTAAGCTTTCATTGATGGCCAAAGATATTGCATTTGCACCAGAGTCAGTGTCTGTGCTTGCCTTTGATGGTCCACTAAGGCACTATCATGCTGACCCCTCAGGATTGTAAATTTGCATCTTGCATCATATGGTACTTGTAAAATTTCATTCTTTTACAGTATTTTGTTCTGAACTTCATATAACTTCACCACATCTACTGGAAGCTTAGCCTCTGCTGTATTTACTACTTCCATCAAGCCATATATCCATGAGTCTTGTGGCAACAGTTCTCATATATGCTACAGGATGGTCTTGTCAGTCAAAATGGGTGAGTTGTTTGTCCTGTCAATGGAATCAATATCAAAAGTTTCAGTTGTGGTTGACTCGATCACATGAATGAGTTAGCCCCAGGGTTGGTACCCATAGCTGTATGAAGATGGTAGCAACCCTAGGGCTAACTCAACCTTGGGGCCCCTTGATGACCATTGAGGGGGTACTCCAGCTGTATTGAAATCAAAAGTAGCACCACTGTGGGGCTTGTTTCTCCTCAGGGCCCCTTGATGGTCATTGAGGTGTTACTCAAGCTGTATTAGAACAAATATTACCAGCAAAACAGGGCTATTTTTGCCACAGGGCCCCTTGCTGACCATTGAGGGGGTACTCAAGCTGGATTAACATGAGTATTACTGGTGCCACAGGTGCCACAGGGCTATTGGATGAAAAAACATTTTGAGTTACAATCAAGATGTTGCTGGATGGAAAATTCTTATTGAGTTAAAATTAGGATATTGGTGGATTGACAAAACATTTTGAGTTACAATTAGGATATTGGTGGACAGAAGAAACTGATTGGGTTGCAATCAGGATATTGGTGGACAGAAGAAACTGATTGAGTTAAAATTAGGATCATGGTGGATTGACAAAACATTTTGAGTTACAATTAGGATATTGGTGGAAAGAAGAAACTGATTGGTTTACAATTAAGATATTGGTGGAAAGACAAAACCCATTGAGTTACAATTGGGAGATCAGTGGATCAAAAAAATGAGTTACAATTTGGATAATGGTGGACACTGGATGCAAAAAAAAACAACTTACAATTAAGACTGTTATTCCCTCAAGGTCTGAGATGCAGACACCACAAAACAGTGTCTACATGAATTTCCCAAAATAGAAAATTCAAGGTTCTGAAGATGTAGGCACGATTTTTGGGCTGAAAGTGTGACCTCATTGATACCTGGTATCTAGTCTCTTGGCCAGATAGATACTTAGCTTGACAAAGACTTGATGCTTGTAGAACAGCCATTTGAATTCATGTAGTCAGTTGCCATACTTTATGCTGCACCACTCTGGATGGATTGACTGCTGGTGGATCTGATGTCTAGCTGAGGTTACTTTTTGAGATTTATTGAAAAACTTTGAAATGTTATTGAAATCCTCTTAAGGTTAGTGGTAGTTTCTGGCCTGCCAATGTCTATAGTGAACCCAGTTATGGACATGCTTCAATGCTCTTGGTTGCTTGCCTTGCTTGGACCTAATGTGATTCCATAGCACATCCTACACACATAAACCGTACTCATCTAGGTAAATTTTGTGTGAATTCAATTGTAAACAATGCAGATTTTCTTTGATCAAAGAGAAAGAATTAAAAATGAAAGACTTATCAAGGAGGACCAGGAAGTTGGGTGGCAGATGAAAGATCCAAGTAGGATAGGCCACTTGAAGGGCTGGTGATTGGTTGGGATCAATTGCTGAGATTCAGGAAGATATAGTCCTCAAGGTTGTTGGACATGGATTGGCACCAAGCTAGAAAATCACTATGATCATACATGGCAGCTTGAATCTTTTCCAGAGAGAGAGTTGGATTCATGCTGATGAGCTTGACCATAAAGTCTCAATCCTTGTTGGAGTAGAGATTCGGACAGCCTCTTTGTCCATAACACTACGCCAAATCATTAATTTACCGTGGAGTTTAGAAAATTGAATAAGTAGAAAAATCTCATCAATACAGCAGAGGTCAGAAAAATTTGAAAAAATAATGGTTCAATCCATGTGTGTTGTCCCCTCATTATGCATATTTTTGTATATTTTTGGCTTTGGTTTTGAAGACCTACAGCCATTCCGATATTGCTTGTCGCACCCTTTTGAAAAGAAAAAGTTTGTGAGCTTGAAACCTAAGTTTTAACCGGTTAAAACCTGAGGTTTGGCGGCATTGCCTTGAATTGCAGCTGAGTTTGGAGTTTTATTGAGTAAAAACTTAGGTTTCAACTTTTTCTTTTTCAAAACGGAGCGACAAGGATATTGGAATGGCTAAACACTTGCAGAGATATCAGGTCAGAAACTCAAATTTGGTCCAAAACTGGCTAGTTTTGGGCAAAAAACTTCAATGCCCAAAAATATAAGAATTTTTGCTCAATAAACTGAATACTTGCAATTCCTGAAAGCCGCATAATGGGTCTACAATGCACTGCCAACATAATTACCTTGGATTTTTCAATCCGAGGTATCATCAGATTCCAAACCTTGGACAGCTTCTGTCCGAGGTTTTGATCTGAGGCAATTCTCAGCGCAGAAGATTACCTCGGACAAAAACCTCGGACAGGATCTGTCCGAGGATTTACCCCCAATGATGCCTCGGATTCCGCAACCCGAGGCATCTATGTTGGCAGTGATGCTTATCACAGTGCTGGAGCCATTGTAGTGATGATTTCTATGCTTTTATAGGGTTCCTGGTGTGTATGGCTTTTGATATATCTCACTCATTCTTGGAGACACACAACCTCTTTGTGCATCCAAATTGTGGATCCAGGATGTGGCATTAATTGTGGGATACAAAGTTAAAACTGGGATTTTTTTCCCAGTTTCCCAGTTTTTGTTTTTGGCTGTGTTTGGAACTTTCCCATGTTCTCCCAGTTTCCCAGTTTGCGTTTTTGGCGGTATTTGGGAAACTGGGAAACTGGGAAAAAACTCCCACTTTTAACTTTGTATCCCCTAAATGATGTCAAGAGACCATATGTTTTGAAGCAAAATTGATGATCTTACAGTCAAACCCGGGCTAATGCATAAATTGGGGAGACAATTTTTGCTATGCAATTATTGTGGTTATGGACCAGCTCAGTATCCTTTCTTTTTTTCTCAGATTGTAATCGACATTTAGGCCTAAATGCATTGAAATATGCATTATGACGGGGTTTTTGTTGAAATTGTATAAGTTTGTGCAATAGTATGTTTGTATTTTGCGCGGGTACAAGGACAAAATATTTCTTCGACACAGAAAAAAACACCACTAGGGATCGGTTCAACCCCATAGAGGGCTCATTGCTGCCTGATGTTGCCAAAATCCTACTTGCAAAGGATTTGATCAGAGTTCAATGGGAAAAAACACATCCTGGGGCGCTTTGTAGGCATGCATTATGACTTTGTGGACTTGAAAAGAAGTATGCATTATGGTTTTTGACATAATTATGCAATTAATGACAAAATTGGCCCGCACCAGCTGGGTGGAAACCAGAACTTATGCATTTTGGCTGGTTTTGCATGTGCGCGGGTATGCATGTGTGCGGGTTTGACTGTGCGCGGGTTTGACTGTATTGGTTTTGCAAGGTCACTGTCTTGATACTGCCAGTTTTGGACCAAAATTGGGTTTCTGACATTATATGAATTGTGGTTTTAAAAATATCAAAAAATATGCCAGATGATTGGAATGCACCAAAGGGCCCAACCATGATTTTTTCATATTTTTCTGACCCCTGCCAGCTTCTCTATAATTTTCTATGTCTTCTTAATTTTCTAAACTCAGTGGTAAATTTGCAATTTGGTGCAGTGTAAATAGCAAGATCACAAACAACTGCTTGAATCTCATTGTAGAGAGCCTTCCATTGTGAGAACGATTGGGCTGATTGAAGCAATGAGTTCCTTGTTGATTGATCTGATGGACGGGCCCAAAATGAAGTTGGTGAGGTTCAGCACTTTGATTTGGACTGAGTAAGTACATTACAAAAGGCATCAAAATTGGATATAGAAGATGCAAATGACATGATACAATTAGAAGATGGGATTGTTGAGTAGTGGTGCAATGAGGGTGGGTGAATGAGCATGCACATCAACAGGAACCCAAATTCCATATCTCAATTGAGATATGCACATGAAAACCAGCTGTATCTGACCTGAATCTCTATGAAAAAAAAATCAAATTCTCAAATGGACAAGTCAAACTGGATTGACTGTAGATAAAGAAAAATCTAGAGGTCTTTTCCCATGTTGTTAGGAAAAAAAACTTTAAGCCCTACATACTCGCACATCACACACATCACACACATGCACACAGAAGAAGAAGAAGAAAAAGAAGAATAAAGAAGAATAAAACATAAAACTAAACTGCCATCCACAATTAAAAAAAACCCTTGTGTGATAAGAAAAGATAAAGAAAGAAAGAAAGTGGTGAGATATATATAAATTATAATTCATTATAATGCATATAGTTGATAAGTTTTGAGAGAGAATAAACGATGAAAGTAAGGAAAAAATCACACGTAAAGAACACACACGCACAAAAAGACTTTGTTTGCCTGATTGAAATAAATTCTATATAAAGATGAAAAGGACCACAATAACCACTGATTTCCACTTCTCTCATCCAAGTTTATTAAGATCTTAAAAGAAAACAATACGAATACGCACAAACGCACACACACACTCTTATCCACAAATAAATTTCCCCCCCGCATCATTCAAACATACACACACACACCACACATACCGCTTGGAAAGGGAGAAGATGATCCGAGTTTGGAACCCACAAAAAACCGTCATAAAGAAGAAAGAAGAAGTACCATGAGAAGAAGTACTATGACTGTCAATGTATTCAAATCGAGATCCGTACAAAGAGAGGAGAGAGAAAAAGTGAAACGAAGATCAGAGAAGGTCGTATCGTGTTGATGATGAATCGTAGCATTTAGGGTCGTGAGTGAGAAAGGCGGGAAAGATCGAAGGGGAGATGATGGTACGACGAAAAGAGACAAGAAGAGAGGATGGATTGAAGCTTTGAAAGGTGTCTAGGTTTTGGTTTTTCATCGGATTCCTGCCAAGACTCCAAACCATCCACCTGCTATAGCTGTGACTAGTGTAGCTGTACATGCTAAGATGATAGGAGAATAATGTGAAAGTGAAACACCTGCCGAACAAGTTGAACATGTCCAAGCTAGTTCAAAGTTTAAGAAAAAGATCAAGAATCAGTACAACTTCTGCATCTCCTATGAGATGAAACCAAAGAAGAAAGTAAAAAGTCTTACATGCTAGAGGTGTATAAGGTTGAGGTTTATACATAGCAAACTTAAGTGCCGAGTTAGGAGATAAAAGACCAGGTGTAGGCCCAGCTGTCGGACCGCGTTCATCATAAATTTGCATAGTATAAGTAGCCACCGCAAAAGGAGGATAGCCCGGAGATTGTTGTTGAGCATAAGGATCCCATGTAAGAGCCGTAGCAGTAGCAGCCATGGTAGTGATTGTATAGGTGATCTTATTAAGTGAACAAAATGCTGCAATGGTGATCGAGTTCCCATAAGAAAGAATATTGGTGTAATTCCAACCAAAGGTTAACGCATTGTTCTCGGCTATCTTATAATACGATGCTGCTGCTGTTGCAGGTGGTTGAGTATATGTGAGTCCTCCGGCACTGATAGTTAAACAAAAGACAAATGGACTTGATTAGTAACAGTTCTGAGTTGGTTTTCGATGGTTTTCTTCGAGGTCTGTGCCTGTTTCTTTAGTCTTATCACTCACGGAGAATCAAAGGGAGGTGAATAAGATGATACGGTCGCCACTGGATTGGCACTTGTGATTAGACCGGTTGCGGGTCGATTGGCTTGATTTTGAGCATTGTTTGCGTTATTGGCGTTGTTGTTTGCATTGTTAGCGTTATTGGCGTTGTTCGCATTGTTCGCATTATTTGCATTGTTTGCATTATTAGCGTTATTTGCATTGTTTCCATTATTAGCGTTATTAGCATTGTTCGCGTTGTTATTATTGTTATTGGCATTATTACCTGCAGCAGGAGCGGGAGTAGCTGCAGGATTGACAGCTTGACGAATATGAAGTTGAGCAGGTTGTTGTTGTTGTGGCCAAAGGTCTGGAGAAGCGATTAGTTGAGATACGAGAGTAAGAAGAGTAAGAGGGCTGATGATCGTCCTAGAAAGAATCATGATGAGAAGAAAGTCGAAGGGTGGGTTGAATGATGAGTTCGGTCTCGATGATCGAGTGTTTTGAAGATATGATGCACTATTGAATAAGTTTAGAATCTTCTTGTTTTGATTAGATTTGAATTGAGTGTATGATGATATATATTGAATTGTAAACTGGATCCTTAGATTGATAGTTTTGATGGATGATGATGAAATGTTTGCTGATTTGGTGATTGATTAATGTTGAGAAGTGGTTAAGGATGGTTTTTGAGAAGAAGTGAAAGTGATGAATCGATTTGAAAACCAATTCACTCATTCAAGATCATCTTCTGAGGTTTAAGTCTCTAAATTTCTGAGGCTCACAAACACTTCATCAACTGTATTTTATAGAATTCTACATCCGCCTACTTGAAAAAATCTCATAGTAGCAAACCTACATACTCATCAGATAATTCAAATTGCTTCTTGGAGTGTTTATATTACAGCTAAGAGCATCAGCACCGGGACCTTGTAAAAGAGGTCCCTGTATCTGACATTTGTGACAGGAGAGCAGGTGTATTGCAACTTTCTCTCCAAAATGTAAAAATTTGGAGAAATCGTTGCTGTGTGAATGTACAAATGTACAGATCATACCAATGACCGGGTTGGGGCTTTGGGTCTAATTGAGAAGACTCGTGCGAGGTTGTAAGGTGTCGGATAGAGAAGATTGGTATAAATTTTCGACGTTTGGTCCCGTTTGGTCGACTTTTGGAATATACGCTGCAGTCCATTAATGGACAGCAGAGGGATGATTTTACACGACGCGTAAATCATACAGGTCATTTACAAGGTCCGGTGCCTCGTGTTTAGTCTCACGGGTTTGTAAAATGGCATGTATTTACCATTTTACAAGGTCCCGGTGCTGATGCTCTAATCTACATATTTGTCTTGGGTATCTTGATAAACATTTCACATAGATTCCACATTCTTGAATCAAATTGGACCGCAAAACTTTTGTTAATGCTTCTGATTCATTTTGGACTTGAGCTTTCATTTCATGAGGAATAATGTGTTTTAAATAGTCATTCTTGTCTTGATTTACTTTTTAGTACTCCAATCATCAACCATATAAGTAAAGCTCTGGCTAAAAATGGTCGTGTATCTTCATTTGTTCACATATAGAAAGTTCTATAAGACTTCTTTTGTTTTTGGCTAGCAAAAGTACCACCCAGAGTCCATAGATACAATGAAATTGCCATAAATGCAATCTATACCAGAAATGGATCTTGTCCTCTGTACTTATCTATAAATGAAATGGTGGCACCAAATATGTGGGATCATTTTTGAGTCAATGTGATGACGGAGAAGAGAATCACAATAAAACGCAAGTAAGCATACTTCACTACAAAAACATGAATTGATGTGTTTGAGATCTAACTAAAAAGTAAGTAATACTCATTTAAATACTGGTAGCACACAAAGAGTTTAATCATTCTAATTATGCAGAGGGGTTTGCATATGTACATATGTCACATGTGTGTGGCAATTCTTTTGAAGTTTCCTGTCCATTGGACAACCTCCAGACATATAGATTGACAATTTTGTTGGTGTCTCATGTGAATGTAGATTGCTGTCCTTAAGGTTCAGGTAAGGGATCAGACTCTAATGCAATAGGGCCAAGCCAGATGGGCTGGAGAAAAATTCAGCCTTGGTTAGATGGAGCTTTGTAATAATTTGAGTTACTCAGATAGAGTGGCATGAAACACTCTGAGGTCTTGCAAGAGACATCAACAATGTTGAGGATTACTCAGAACCTATTGATTGCAAGGCAGTGTACATGATCACACAAGAATCCTCTTCATGAAGCTTTCTATTCTTTGTATTCTTTGTCAATGTGGCAAAATAACACTTGTTCACACAATCTTACAGGGTGAACTTACAAAATGGGTAACCGTGTTCTTATTATTTAATATTATGACACAAAGACCCAAGAAAAGCATGTGTGACTATGGTACCTTCAACATACATCAGCAATGAAGAGACAGTGCTTCAATTGTATATTGAAATCATACCAGCGCATTGCATACTTAGACCTACTTGGAACTCTACGTGTGGGATCTTTCGCAGGTCAAGAATAACAAATCACAACTCATGAAAAGGAAAGAAATTGTAAAGGCACAATATCTTCATCAGCCATGATGACTTCTCATCAAACTTTTTTTTTAAGTGCTTTTGGCTTAATTGCATATAACACTATCAACACATGTAAAAAGAGAAGGACTAGTACACCTTAGAAGAACGGCCAACTAATCAAAACTTGAGACATTTAATAACAGCAGAAAAACAAATGAAAACTTTTGGAGCCCAAGCTTGTAGCTTATTAACCCTTGTAGCGTATTTCCTTTTTTTTTTTGAAAACCATCTTTAGGCATTTAGCCCACCCGCAGGAAAATGATGGGCCTCTATGAACTGTTTTTAGTTTAGTAAAAACCGTTTATAGAGTCATTAGACTCAATAACTTCTTGCGTACTCCATATAGGAAACCGTCCAAGTTGGTGTCAAGAGCTAGAAAATAGAAACCATTTGATATATGTCTCCTGCTCCTGTGATCCAATATGTTGCTTGGAGGTCGCCGAACCCTTTGGATTGAACATTATCTTTAGTACTGCTTGTGTTTTAGAGTCCACTGCGACTGGTTTGAAAAATGTCTTGATAGCCTGTGGATCCATGGTGGTACATGAAAGCTAGTTTGGAGGTTAACAAACCCTTGTGGGATTGAACACTGATCTGGGAAGGAATGCATTGGGTAGGTCCTCAGTATCATCGTTCTTCTTGTGTTACTTCATATCTCTGTTTTGTGGTCGCCTTCTTGAGGGTTTTATCCGGTGTGTATGTATGAACATGAATGAATCTTTTAGTATGGAGAATAAAATCTGCTAGAAAGGGAAACGCTTTAGGGTTATCCAGTAGCTTCGTTGCATTACACCAGTTGACTTTAATTTTTTCTTTACGTAGGCTTGCTCTGAATTTCTTCCTTGCTCGTGAGTGTTTTCTGCAGTACAAGAGAAAATGTTCAGTACTCTCCTTCACACCACATAATGGGCACATCGGGGATTCTGTTAGATTTTGTTTGAACAAATGGTCATTTAGGGGGCTATACTTCGCTCTCAGCTGGAAAATCACTGCGGCACCACCTTTTTCGATATTCTGGAGGCCTTTAGATATGTCTTTTGGGTGAGTGATGAATTTATTTTTACCAGGTTTGAATATATAATTCTTGATGTTGAAATTTCTGTGGGTTCTTTTCTTTAGGATACCCAAACTCGTGGGGATTGTGGTCGCATTTGTCATGTCGGATGCAGCGACTTTAGCTAATTCATCTGCTTTTTTGTTCAGTTCTATGTCCAAATGGCCTGGGGTCCAAAAAAGTCTGACATTGGTGTTAGTAGGAAGTCTGCGTAAGTTAGCTCTTATCTTAATGACTAGGTGTTGACCCAAACACTGTCGTGGTGCATCATGGACCAGTCTCAGAACTCCTTGGTTATCACTAAAAATGGCAAGATCGGTCAGCTGCGGTCTGTGGTTTCTGAAGATCTCGTTTGCTAACTCAGTAGCGTTCAGAATTCCCATTAGTTTGGCTTCATGATTGGAAAAATTGTTGTTAAATTTGATTGATGTCAGTTTGTTGGAGGCTTTAGTGACTGCTGATGCTCCACCACCTTCGTCATTTACTGAACCATCTGTGAAAATGACGAGTGAGTTCTTTTCCTCTTCTTTGACTATCTGATTTGGTACCAGTTCCTTAGTTTTGTCTTTTGACTTCTCCAGATTGATTAATTGCCCAAGATTTCGTGTCCAGGGGACTAGTGAGTGAGCATAAATTATTTCCATCTCTTTGTTTGCGATAGAGTCGAGTTCATGATGTTGTAACCTTTGTGAGTTGACGATTTTAGCTGAAGTTCATGCTTGATGAAGACTCTTGTTGGATGTTCTATTGGGGCTGTTGGTCTCTTGAGTAGGAAGTTATGATGTCTTCTGGTGGCTATCATGATGAAGGGGGTCATGTAGGCGTCGTGACTAAGCATTTTGGTTGCTGTACCTTTGAAACCACCTAGGATGATCCTATTTGCTGAGTTCTGTAATTGGGATAAAATGTTATTAGCTTTGGAAAAAAAATTGCCTGTACACCAAATGACACTGCCATAGAGTATCCTTGGCAGAAGAATCGCGAGTGTTAGTTTTTTCCCTTCCTTTGGGGTAAGGCCCGAATAGCACTTGTTCAGGCGTCAAAGTTGGTCTATTGAGAATTCACCGATTTCCTGAACTTGAGACAGGTGATGGTTGAAAAGGAGCTTTGTATCAAACCATACACCCAGCCATTTGACTTTGTGTTTGGGTTTCAGTAGGGTGTTGCCAAAGTTGAAATCTGGAAAAGACTTGATTCATTTCTTTGTGAAGTGGATCAACTGGGCATTTTTCTTCTTGAAAATTGCTCCGTGTGTGTTTGCCCATCTGAGTGATTTCTCTGCTTGTTGTTTTAGTTTGATCATGTTGGTGTCAAACGATTTTGGGGAGACAATGTGTACTACATCGTCTATGAAACCTATCGACATGTTATCCGCCTTGGGGGAGAGGGGGGTTGTGTAAGAAAACAAGATCTTACGCTCGACGCTGTAGATCTGTGACAAATACCTTTATAAAGGTGAAAGAATATTTCAGCCTTATGCTGACGAGGCAAGGCTGAGAAAGATAACGAGTTCTAAACTCGACAGGTGACGAACCTTTATAAAGGTGAAAGAATATTTCAGCCTTATGCTGACGAGGCAAGGCTGAGAAAGATAACGAGTTCTAAACTCGACAGGTGACGAACCTGGACGGCGAGGAAGATTAAGTAAAAGAAAACTTTAGAATCTAATTCCTCGATCATGAATATACACACACACAAAACAATAGTTCTACTAACCTTTATAAAGGTGAAAGAATATTTCAGCCTTATGCTGACGAGGCAAGGCTGAGAAAGATAACGAGTTCTAAACTCGACAGGTGACGAACCTGGACGGCGAGGAAGATTAAGTAAAAGAAAACTAACAAGGCAGAACAAAAATGAAATGTAGAAATAGAAAGAAGAAAAAGGATATAAAATTGAGAGTAGTTTTTAGTAAGAGTCTTGACACAGTAAAAAGAGAAAAAGTTGATAGTTTTCTAATCTCACCTTTAGAATCTAATTCCTCGATGGGGGGAAAGATTCGAAAGGGAACAGAGAGGGGGTTAATAAGAAAAATATCAAGGACACAAATTTTTCTAGA